GCAGCAGCAGCAGCGCTACAGCTGAAGTAGAAGCCTGGGGGCAGTGGCGGCCCGCTGCGAGTGCTGAAGGCCTCAGGCCTCTTCTTTTGCCCCAGTGCCACTGCCACTGAGGAGCGCTACTGTGCAGGGCAGCCAAAAGGGCAGATGTGGGAGGGAGAGACAGGCAGGTGGGGGGAGTTGAAGTGCCCCTGCAGTTGTAAGTGTGGACAAGCTGACAAGTGCCCGAATTTTGATCACATGACCACAGGGGTGCTGCAACGGCCATATCTTCAGGGACCAGGTGTAAATACCATTCATTCAGCACCACTGTAACTTCAAACAGTCGCTGAACAAATGGTTGTAACTCAAGGGCTACCTGTACAATATTTCACTATTAATATTTATTTTGCTGCAGCATAACTCAAAGTTGCCAGTGCAATAAGAAACTGAATGCACGAAGTAATCCTACAATAGGAACAACCACATACGCTTAGAGGCTTCTATTTAAACCATCCATTAATTGGCCCACTCATAAATCTCACATTAGAATTCACTAGAATTCTACTCAACAGGACCGTACTGACTACTTCAGGCTTCTTAGGCTAATAGATTACAGAGGGCTTTCTCTGTGGTCTGTTTACTATATCATCCAAACCAGGATTTTGACTTATTCTCCCCAGAGCAGTTTGTAGTTAGCTGGACCAACTGGCAAGAGCAACTGGCAGATGTATCAGAGTGGCACACACCCAGCATATTGTTCCTTCTCTGCCTGAACTTTGCCAATTGCTGGTCTGGTCAACTGAATGAAGACCTTTGAGGCAGGCAGAACACAGAAACTATTAAGATTTCTGGGAAGATCTTTAGTGCTAGTAGGATAATATAACAGAATCTTGAAACCTTGTGTAATTAAGGTGGAGTTACACTGAGTCTTCTCATGTTTCCTCCTCCCCTGGGCTCAGCAATCTTTTCTGTAACAGCCCTGTTCCCTCCATGGTCCCAGGGTCTGTTAGACATTCCGCCACAGAATGCATCTGGCCTACCAGGAGAGATTACTTCAAACCCAGTCATTTTTCAAAGAGTTCTAATCAAACTATTCTTTACACAGCACTTTTCAAAGGACTTAAAAATGGAAACCAGCCTGAATTGGAGGTTGTTTAGTCAACAGTGTTAATTTTTTAAAAGTGGTGAGTTCTTACTTTTTAGAGACTTTATAACTTTCATTGGCATTCACTGCTTTGTATTTTAGATTTCCTTTGGTCCGCTCCAACTCTTGGCGCCAGTCTTTAATAGAATCAAACCATACTACTTGATTTTCTTTCTCTGTTAAAATATAAGTTTTTTAGACTGGATAATTTTGGACTTTTCAAGTAGGTTTTGCATTTCAACCAAAAACTTGACAAGAGTTGTAAAATATGTTTTTAGTAGGATAAATACACTGGAAAAAATTTTCAATTCTAGTTTAAGTTTTGTTCTTAGAAGCAACAATTACTATTCTGAGTTGTTTTCATAAAGCCACTGTTTCAGACTGTGGCCATAACTCAACAGGAGATGCATATATCCTCATTTTTGATAGAAGAAAATAACTACTTTTACACTGAAACTTTTCTGGATATCTACTGAAGCTCATCTCTTGATCATATATGAATAGCTATCATACAATCCATTTCCTATCAGTACTTGACAAGATGGTACAGATGACCAAGCTAACCAAGGTGGGAACACAACAAGCATATTTTAAAGCAAGCCTGTCAACACAATAGTTACTTAGAATCAAAATAGCAAGGCAGGTATATCATGCATGCTTACCTGAATCATTTGGGGCAGCTGATGCATAAGAGAACAGAAACAAGCGTTTAAATAGCTTAGGAGTCTGTGTTTGATGAACTATGCCACTGACAATCTAAGAAAGGAACGAGAAATCAACGTATTTGTAAGCCATTCACATTAGTTAGAATTGAGTACCTTCTAGCTTTGCTAGACTGCTGAACAATTTCCTAAATTGATCGTGTTTTTATACCTCAAAAGGCTAAATCTCAATTCTGTTGAAATGCTTTATATGGACTTCCCCTATTAGCATTAAAATATCTGGGTAGGAGATGGACTTCTTTCAGTGTACCTGGAGCTTAATACGTCGAGCATGCCACATACCTTTTGTCCTGCAGACAATTATAATATTGATATGTGTCATATAATGAGCCATAAAAGACAATCTGAAATGTTGGGCTATGTAGGGACCGCTGGTGTACAAGGTCTTTAGGATGAGGTAGTTGTATTCAGACAGTAGGGTCACATAATGGTTAAGCAGCTGGACTGGCACTAGGGAGATCCAGGTTCAAGTTCACCCTCAGCTGTGAAAGCTTATTAGGTGACTTTAGCCACACTCTCTGACTCCAGCCTACCCCCACAGGGTTGTTCTTGTGGGGGAAAACTGAAGGAGAGAGTTCTATGTACCACACAGCACCCTATTTTTCTTCAGTGTATGTATGCAAACCTTCAACCAAATGAGAATTCTACAACTGATAATAAAATTAATTTGTAAATGGAATCCAGCAAATTAGGATACAGTCTATTCCTCAGACTGAAACCTGAAGGCATTTTAAGCAAAAGTACAGGCTGGATTCACACCTGTGCTAAACCATAATGGGTTTTGTTTGCCATTCACTTAGCATACCTGCAGTTTGTAAACCAATAGGTTATGGCTGAGCATTTTGTGATTAACTGAAAACATATTAAACCACAGCTAGACAAAGATGCTTCAACAAGCCATGACTTTCTTCCCTAATTTTCCCATCTTCTTAAAAAATGTAACTCGGTTGCAAAATTTGAAGAGCATTAATGCTCTTCATGAATGTTTTGTCATACCTACACTCCAAAGGTTTTTGTTTCAAAAAAGGGAAATAAGTAAGGCTGTAATTACCCTTTTAACTTCTTCTTCCTTGGTGTATCTTAAACAGAAGTGAAACACTCTAAGATCTTTGCAGTAGATTATTATTGTTTCTGGGTATTTTCTCAGTTGCCCACTTAGAGGTTTCTTTTTCTCATCATAAACTATAAGAAAAGTATAGGTTAGTTTTTAACATTTATTCAGGTAAACAACTCACCACTATTTATCCAGCAAATCAGTAAGCTATAGATCTTCTTGCCCAATAATTTATTCCTAAATGTATAGCCGTCATAATGAGGAGCTGGGAAAAAATGCAGCCAACTTAATTAAACAAACAAAAAAAGTTGATTAACTTGCTTAAGAGACCAGGGAAATATTCAAAAATTTAAGATGCTGGAATACAGTTTCATGATGAGTAAAATACGCCAGAAAGAACAAATTACTTAAGAGAAACAGTGTGCAGATCTGTGCCCTGAACTGTTGCTTATGTAGTTAACTCTACAACCTTACTTTTGTACTATTATCCTAACCACCAATTTATCTTTACCTCCTGCAATTCATACTGAAAGCATCTATTCAAACAATACCCACACAAGCTAAACTGAAATATTTGTATTTCTGAAGATTTAAATAATACTTGAATATATGCTTCACAACAATTTACTGCTTAATTTAATTTTAACTAGAACAGAAAGTCAAGGAGAAGCCTACTTTTATTGATCATGCACTGATAACCTCAAGGTTGGATTAGTGCCAAGTGCTCTTTGCAGAATAGACACTGAAAATGATCTGGAAACCACCTGGCCCAAGATGTACCAGGGCAGACAATCTCTCCAAGTACATCCCAGTATATCATAGGTTGCTTTTTAAGGCAATTCAAGGGGCTCACAATGCTGTTAAAGCTCTGTGTAGTTCAGGGCCAAGTTATCTCCAGGAATCCCATCTCCCATACAATTCTTCTGGAACTCCCCAATAATTAATAGGATTCTTTTAGCAGCTCCTGCAATTATGCATTTGATACCATGGCTATACAGGTAGTCCCCAGTTCAAGAACGAGTTCTGTTCCCAAGGTCTGTCCTTAAGCCAAATGTGTATGTAAGCCGGAACAGTATTATTGTATAATACTGTATAGGTAGCTTTGTGTAATTAACTGGAACCATTGTGTATTTAACTTGAATCACTGTGTACTGAACTTGAATTTTCTTACAACAGGCTCCATTCTGAACTATGGGTCGTCCTTAAACCGGGCGTTCTTAACCCAAGGACTATCTGTATATTTTTTTTACCATGGTAGAGCTCATGAAAAAGAAACTGCCATTGGAATCAAAGCAAATCACCAGCTTACCAGAAATCAGGATGGAGGTTAAAAAAATACTTATTTATCCAAGTCTTTTAATGTTATTATTATAGTTTTGATATATTAAATGGTACAACAGATATAACTTTTATGGATATTACTAGGTGGTTATAAGCTGGCAGAGCCATAAAAAGTGCTAACACCACATAAATTTTTTAATTTTTAAAATAAAATGTGTTTTTGGTAAGATAAAGAGTGCATTCTATGCATAAATGCATGATTCTGCCCACATTCTTATTTAGAAATAAGAGCTGGTTGTGTCAGGAGGACGTAAAAGGTGAATGCAGGGGAATGAATTACAATACTTGAAGTCTGATGAAAAGCAAAATGGTGAGTGGCCTGTATGATAGAAATACTTTGAACTGGTTTGGCAATATAGAAAGAATAAATGAGAATAAAATTGCAAACCAAATATATGAAGGAATAGTTAATTGAGAGGAAGGGGAAGACCAAGAAAAACCAAGCTGGATAGAGTTGATGATACCCTCAAAAAGTAGTGAGAAGTTTAAAGAACAATAAGCAATGTATGAAGTGATGTATGGACACAGTGGAAGCAAGGAGGTTTTGTAAGAATGGAGAAGCATAGTGAATGCACTGCTGTATACTAGATTTTGACTTTGCTTTACCTCCAAATGTTATTTTGCTTAATATTTCTTACTCTTCTTCTTCTTCACTTTGCACAGTATTACTTATCACAAATACAGGTAGAGTTGTAATAAAAATAAAATTAAAAATTAACATTACTTTTAAAAATATATATAAATCACCCAAGTCATACAAAACCAAATATTTATTTCTGACAATCAAATACAATAATTAAAGATGAAGAAATTATTAATGCTAACCTACCTCCATAAAGGTGATCTACACACTGAAGAGTTATGTCATTTTCTCCAAAGACTTTATTTTTAAACTGTGGTTCCTAGAAGAGAAAAATGCCTTAAATTTCCCTTAATAGAACACACCATAACTTAATTAGGTTTCTCATTTACTATCAATACAATAGACCATACATTCAAAAGGTTAACTAGCTCTTTTTGTTCCTGGAGTACTAAACTTCTAAGAACTGAAAGTAATGAAGTAGAATCTCACCAACATTACCAACTACAGCTGAATCTTAACCACAGTTTTTTTCCTTTAAAGGCTCTAATCCTCTCCAGAACCGCGCCAAAATCTACCCTGTTATTTTCCACAAGTCATATTCTAATTTGCCACTGATTTAATAGGTATGTTTACTTTCTGCCAAAAAAAAGTTCTTAAAGTCTTTAAAAAGATTACACCAGGGTTTCTCAACCTCAGCAACTTTAAGATGTGTTAGCCATGCTGGCTGGGGAGTTGAAGTCCACACATCTTAAAGTTGCCAAGGTTGAGAAACCCTGGATTATACATTCAAAATTATAAGATGTAAACACCCATTAAGAACACATCAAAAGAAGAACATCCCCTACCAGTTAAATTCTACTTTGGCAGTGGCAAATGTATTGGCTTGAACACCTAAAGTTGTCAAATAAAGAACATGTCCTTCCAGCAGACATATAATACAGAACCAGCTAGGTCTCTTCTTTTTGCAGACCCTTATAATCACCTTATGATCCAAAGTGCTTGATCAAGGGAAAGGTCAAGAGAAGCGGCTTTCCAGGGGATCTTAAACCCAGAGCAGGCTCATATGGGGCAAAAATATTTTAGTCTAGTTTCTAGCTTGATTTTGAAAAAACCGCCTCCTCTTGTGTTACTGCACAATTTTGGTCTGAGAAAGAAATGCTATCCCTGCTGATTCCCTCAGATCTCTCCGAAGCATTCAGTCTCAATCACGGAAGATTTCTAGACCTTTCAGGACATCATATAACTTTCTGTAGTAGTTCTTTCTAAAAACTAGGTTCTAGAACATGATGCTGAGACACTGCTCCATTTCACAGAAATTATCCTGTACAGCAGTTTCCCTTAATATTTTCAAGACTGTAGAACACCAAATAATATATTTTTAAATAAGGAACTCATCTATGACTACTTCATTTTTAAAAGGAGGAATCAAAAGCCGTATGAGAGCCAGTATGGTGTAGTGGTTAAGGTGCTGGCCTAGAAACCAAACAACTGTGAATTCTAGACCTCCCATAGGTATGAAAGCTGGCTGGGAGACTTTGGGTTAGCCACTGTCTCTCAGCCCAACCCACCTCACAGGGTTGTTGTGGGAAAAAACTTGAGACAGATAGATATAAAAGCAGAATGAAAAAAATATTGAAATAAGAGTCTCATTCAAGTCAAGTTTGATTGCAACTATATAGACAATCCATGTTGTTTTCTGGTTGTTTTATTGGCAACAATATGGTAGTGATTTGCCAGTGTAATTCTTCCAGGATTTTTTTTTAAATTTTCAGTGTAGTCCATGGCATTGGGATATTCTGGTAGTTCCCTTATCCAAAAACTAACCAGGCAGACCCTGCTTAACATTTTTAAAATCAACCAACTGCTGCAACACTAGGATAATAGCTTATTACTAAAATATGTTTTTTTTCCCTTAGAGATGTAAAAGGAGCATTGGAAGAGGCCTCAGGGATCATCTAGTCTAACTCTCTTTTTAGTGCAGGATCTGTTAAAGCATATCCCATGTTTCGTTTATAAACTTTAATGGGATCTATCGGCTTGTATATGACAACTTATTTTATCAGTGTCTGGAGGGAGATTTTTTTACAGAAAGATTTAAACATTCACCTTATTTTGATATTTTGTCTTTGTTGCAGTAGAGCTGAAAATCCACTTTCACAAAGATACACTGAGCAAAATGGTGGTAGGACCTTCAGGCCCATTTCACTTAAGTCATATGTGAATTTTGTGAATTTTCATTCAAAAGTTGTCCAGTGATATTTTTTTTTCAACTGTAGCAGTGTAACATCTTAGGAGAGATCTGGCAACATCCCTTCATTCACAGAGTATTTGGTTGTTTAAATTAAGTGGATCCAAACTCCTTAAGAAATGTGTCAGCTCTTGGGACCAGCTTGTGGAATACTTTCAACTGTCTCGAGAACATTCACATTCCACAAAACTTTGTTTAAGAAACACTGCTATTGAGTTTCTTAGGTTTCACTGTTATCTTGGTATATGCTATCTATGTGATACTGCTAGGAAAAGCTATCAGGGGAAACACTGAGATCAAACCCAGTGAGGTCACTTTATCCATGTCTATAATTAGTGACACATGGTTCATATTGAATAAATCAATTATTTATTTAGATTTACTTCATGATATTAGGTATCTAGAGATACAACTATTCTAGTAGTGGATACTTCCCTGTATGATCAGATTTTAAAGGTAAATACTATCGGACTGAGCTTTTTCACTGATTCCTAGGTCACAATCATAGCATAGTATCTTTTATAAGGTCCAGCTGATATACTAGCTAAGATATGGCCAACATCATTCATGTTTTAGTACTACTTAGACTGAATTCTAGAAGTGCTCTGAGCAGCCTTTGCTCAGAAGGTTCGGCTACTACAAAACACAAATCCTTATCATTTTCAGAATGTATTCATGATGGAAATATACAACAGAAATGTATACAGTACTCTGCAACAACCTTTATACCCACCCCCCAAAATTATGTTGCAAAGAACTTGGATTTTGCAAGCCTTGTTCATCATGTACATTGCCCTCAAGATGGTGGATTAACCAAACAATCTGCCCCTGTGATTTGCCAAGAGCTCAATTTTTCCTACATCAAATCCAACATAATATATATTTTGTCTGGACCTTGTACCAAATTCATTATAGGAGAGCAATATCTTAGCTTCCCAGTATTCTTTTACAAGACTTCATGCCCATAATTATAAATTTACTACTGAAATAAAAAGATGAAGTACCCAACCACCACGTAATGAAAAGAATTTGCCCATGAGAGAGAAAAAGATTAATTTTGATCTCTTACATCCTCCAAAGTGGATTCTTCTCCAAGGAATGAAATCTTGAAGTTTGTGCAAATAAGTTTTCCAAAAGTGCCACGATTTGATCCATCGTCTTGTACAAATTTCAAAACCATGTTTGCTTCACAAAGCACCAGCTCACCTAATGGAAGTTAATTTGCTTCTTAGTAAGTTGCAATGAACTACTTAGATTCCCAAATTCCAAGTTGCTCAAATGCTATTACTGTTAATGCAAGATGAGCTACATACTTAAGGAATTATGCTACTGTTATTGCTCTGAACTGGGGAACTACTAGTGCCTTTAAAATGCACTATCAGAGCTAAACACATGGCACAGTTCTCAGCCTCAATCTGAAAACAAGCAAAAGCAACACTCTAAGAAAATTCTGTACAATTCATCTAAATTAGGACTGCATTATAAAAAGCAACAGCTCCTCTATCCTGGCATCCACTTAGCCAGTAGTCTCTGCTATTTTTAGAAATATAAGATGTTTGAAGGCAGATAAGTTCTCTTTTTACAGTAACACCATGTATTTCTCAAAGCCAGGAGAGTTTTCAAGTTACAGAAATCAAAGAAGCATCCTATAAAATAATAAACACAATGGTTGGTCATGCCTTGACACATACCCCTCAGAGCTCAGCTTATCTACTTAACTGTATTGTGTAATGGACAACTTCAGCATCCAGTACTGTGCAATATTATTTATTTAACATTACCTGGCAACAAGTGAGGTTCCACTTCTTTTTCTATGGGTTCCCTCACATATACCTCCTAGAAGAAAGGACACTGCATTAGTCCAGATGTTAAGTAAAAGGTTACATATTCAATATATTAAAAACGTATTTTGAAGGCAAATTACTTCTGCGGTATTACACTGGCATGTAGAAAATATTTACCAAAGTTATACAGTAACTTGAGACCAACCTAATAAAAATGTTGAGAATTTTAAGTATATAGCAACAGGACAGGTTACCATAAGAAAGTTGTAATAATCTATTGCTGATGTCTTCCCTTTTTTAGTATTAAATCTTAAAATAAGTAAAACAAAGTTCACAATCCAAACAAGAACTCAATAAAATTGCTAATCGTCTTTAACCAGGATTGAAGGTGCGTTGGGACGAATTATCTTTTTTTTTTAAGAGGCTTTTTTATCCTGCCTTTATTATTTGTATAAATAACTCAAGGCGGCGAACATATCTAATACTCCTTTCTCCTCCTATTTTCCCCACA